CAAAGTTTACCATTGCTGCGGCGCAGTAAACTTTGCATCTTGATCCCCGACGACCGTGAGCTCGGTGATCCACAGACGCCCGCAGTTAGCTGACATCTTGGTGCTGTCAAATGCGGCGGCGGCGCTAGAGATACGAGCCGTGGGCCACTCGGTTTGTTTCCAGGGATGCCGGCGTGCTCCTTCCAGTGCAGTCGGCGTCCGGCCCGTGAGAGGGCCCCACCTGAGCCCTCGAAGTCTATCTATCCACCTGCCGTCGCCGAAAGTGTTCAACTCGCGGTCACCACTTTCCATTCTGCGTGCCTCGTCGCTACCCGGCAGACAATTTGACCCCCATCCCGAGGCTCGTGTGAAGAAGCATCAGGTTCTGAGACTGCGAATCAAGCGAGCAAACGCGCGTAACTGGTTTCGGGTAGAGCTGAAAGGCGAGCGAGACACGGACCACACGAAACCGCAGCGCCAACGCCTTCGTCTAGTTGGGGGCTGAAACGGGGGGATCAAGCGATCACCAGTCGGCACTCTTGCAATCGCCTCGTACCACACAGGCAGGACCACCATGAATGGCTCCATGAGCTCATTGACAGCGACCATCACGTCGGCCTTGGCGCTCAAGGCGTTCACGGTCTACATCTAGCGGGTTGAAGACACCAAGACGCAGAGGAGCCGGCACATCCGTCGCTGCTTCTCCGAGTTCTGCGAGCTGCGCGAGAAGCTCCTCGCACTCATCGACGACGAGATGGCCACGTACCTCACCAGCCCGGACATGGACAACATCGAGAGCAGCTTCAACACCAGGTCCAACGTCAGCTTGAGTGCCAGCGCTAGCTCCAGTGTCAGCACTTGTACCAGTATCCCTAGCTGCGCCGGGTGACATCGCTCCTCGTCGAGCAGGTTTGACGTTGTTGCAGTCCACACTTCGTGACGGAGCGACGCGCGGGGCTGCAACGCGGTGGCTTCCAAACTCGAGGAACGTCTCGATGTGGGTCATCATGCTGAAGCAAATGGCGATGAGTTGGCGCTGGCGAACGACTTCGACGACCTCCAGAGCATGCTGCAAGAAGCGGTTGAGCGCCAGAGATCGCGCCTCAATCACGCGCTTGGAGCGTGAGCCAAGCAGTTTTCGCGGCGGGAACTGCTTGAACACGAAGGCGAAGCGGTCGGACGTCGGCGTCTGGCGATGCCTTCCGCGGTGCGAGTTAGGACGTCGGCTGCTGCTTCGCTGACTCCGGGATTCCACCACTACCCGTTGGTACCAACTCCAGCCTTCGCGATGACGGTGACGGACCACAAGTATCAGTCCTGCACCAGCAGATATCACCTCAGCTCCAGCAGCGAGGAGGACGCAGGCGGCAGTGACGACGAGACTCAGCGCTTCAACAACTTCGACTTCACGCGGCGATTCTACCGCGAGTTCGGCCGCCAGGAAGAGCGCGCGGAGATTTACGCGGACGACTCGGACGACGACGAGGAGATGCAGATGCTCAAGAAGACATGGAGCGCTATGCTCGAAAGCGAAACACACGAGCGCAAACTGTACCACAGCGGCAGTCACTTCGCCATGCTGGAAAGCGCACGGCACTCACCGACTGAGACGTGGGCGAGACGCATCGAGATCGCAGGCATCCACAACGCAGTCAAATCTAATGCAACCTTGAGCGCCACCTGCCCAGTTAGCACACAGAAGGCGCCCGAGCCAGCGACTCACAGAGCAGAGCAGCTCCTAAGTCGCCACCGATCACACCAGCAACTTCCAGTCCAGCACTTCCCGACCTGCGCTTGAGTCGCGTCTGCAAGACTCTGCGTGCAAAATACTCGTAAGCTAGTCAGTGAATTAGGAAGTGAGTTTGTGTGAATTACCACGCACAGCGCCACGGTTGGGAACGGCTGGAGTTCCAGGCCATCGAAGGAAGTGGCCGCCATCGTTCCCCAGCTTGGCGAAACTATGAAGTAGGAGAGAAGTAATCTAACAGGCCATAGTACCATTAAGTTGTCGACATGCCCACACTCGCCGACTTTACAGTCGATTCCAAAGCCTCCTCCTCCAGGATCACCTTGTGTGCAATCTGCACGATGCGCTCGAATGCCAGGTCAGAGTACCGTCGCCAGCAGACGTGGTCGCGCCACTGCCGAGTTGGAAGCTGCGGCGTCGTCAATCCGTGAAATACCTTGGCCACAGCGTAACTCGTCCATTTGATACCTTCATCGTTGCTCGTGCTCTCTTCAGTATCACTGCCCTCAAGCGGACCTCCACCGCCAAGACGGAGTTGAATGAGTGAGCGTGTACCTCGCTCGATAGCCTCGATCAGAGACTCGGTCAGCGGCCGCAGCATTTTCTGCAGCAAACGCTCATCCTCGTCACCTTCGACGTCGTCTCCACCGGCGGCAGCATCATCCTTATCGTCGTCGTCTTCGAAGTAACGTACCGGTTTGGTCTCGAGAGCATGGGCCTTATCATCCAGATCTTCTTCGTCTTCTTCATCTTCGCCATCACGCGCGGTTGACGTCGGAGAAGGCGCCGGTAGAGCTGCCGCGTACAGCGCTCCATACAAATGAGCGAGACGAGCAAGCTGGCGCGACTCGAGATGCCCGTGCTTCGCATACAACAGCTTCGTCCATCGGTCCACGACTTCACTCTTCATCTCGTCGGTCAGTTCAGCCCTCCAGCTCAACTGCAGCTGGAATGCGGGCTGTGACAGCGAAAAGCGCTGGATCTGACCAGTCTGTTGAGCCGCTCGCAATTCTTGTAGCAGCCGACGCTCATTCGTGGCGGCAGCGACCGCAGCAGCATTGGTTTCACCCGCCTGCTGAGCGTCGGAAGCTGCTAACAGGGCTGCAGCTTGGTCTCCATTGCTGTTGGCACCAGTCGTCCGTCCGTACCATTGAGCTACTTCGTGCAGGTGGCAGTCGATAACCCAAGAGCTCAGATACCCGTCCTTACGATGTGTCACGCGTGCATTAGGCAATTCCTTGCGCTGCACCGCTCCGAGCAGTGACTTACTGTAGATTGCGGTCCCAGTTTCTTCGCTTGAGTGTCCAGCAGCTGCAGTGTACATTGACTCATGCTCAGAGGTTGGAGTGCCACGCGTAAACCCAGCTCGTCGTCCTTCTGACGCTGCGTCTCGAGGGCCAGCAACGTGAGGAACGTCTCGATCGAAGCCGCCTTCAGGTCAAGGTGGCGCTCCAGCCAATCTCGCTCGAGAGACTCCAGCGTCAGGTCACTGCCAGCTCTCTGACCTCTTCCCGAGCACTTCACAGCCACTACATGCTTCTTGCTCGCTGGGGATAAGCTCTCCCGACTCTGGAAGACAAGAGCCATAAGCCTCCGAAGCTGGTCGCGATGTAATGCGGTTGAAAACAGTAACGAGCGGAAGTGCACCGCGTCTTCATTCAGCAGATACAGCAACGCTCGCGCAGACTTGCCGTCACGACCTGCTCGTCCAATCTGCTGCACGTATCCCTCGACAGACGACGGCATGTGGAAGTGCACAACAGCCCGCACATTCTTCTTGTCAATGCCCATACCAAATGCGATAGTAGCCACCACAACGCGCACTCTGCCTCGCGCAAAACCTGTGCGGACCTTTTCCTTCGCCTCAGGCGCCATGCCAGCATGAAACGCCACCACCTTTCCAGCAGTGCGCCAAGCGTTGGGCAATTGTTCACGCAGCAGAGCTGCAAGTTCCTCCGTCTGCCGTTGCTGGTGAACGTACACGATAACACCTCCACCGCCAGCCTTGGAGGACTGTGTTGATCCTTTGCTCAACTCGGGGAGGATGTGGACGAGATGCCGCAGTCGCTCATCATTCGACCGGACGGAACGAACTTCCAGCGCCAGATTCTTCCTTTGCCATGGCATCTGCAGCACCATGTCGCTCTCGCTCTCGCCACCTTGATTCTGAAGCTGCCGACGTGAGCGCAATTGATGCAATACATCGTGGACAACACGTCGCGAGGCTGTGGCAGTCACACACAAAACGCACTGGGTGTGGCGGAAGACCTCTGCCAGCCGCAAGTAGCTTGGACGGAAGTGGTGGGACCACTCTGAGACGCAATGCGCTTCGTCGACACACACTAGTGCCAAGCGCGCACGGACCCGCGGTAACGCGAGCAGCGCTTGCATTCCAGCATCCAGCGCCTTCTCCGGCGACAGGAAGATCAGAGAGAGTTTGTCCGCCAGCAGATCACGCACAAAAGCCGCATGCTTCGCCTTGGACGAGCCTGAATCCGAGCCGGAGCCGGAAAGACACAAGGAGCGAGCCTTCAATGGGGCGGGGAGACTCTCGTACTGGTCGTTCATCAGCGAGATAAGCGGCGAGATCACGAGCGTAATTCCAGGCAAGAAGAGCGCTGGGAATTGATAGCACAGCGACTTGCCTGCACCCGTGGGCAACACAAGGAGAGTGTCCTTACGACGCAGCACCCTTGAGATCGCCCACTGCTGGCCAGGACGAAAGTCGGCGTGCCCAAACACCAGAAGCAGATTGGTGAGCATCGCCTCACGTTGCTCCTCTTCAGTAGCTTCAATATCCAGAGGAACGCACTCAATGGCTTCTGCTTCAGCTGCGGACTCAGCAACACCGTCAGAGGAAGAAGAAGCCGTGAAGAGTGTCTGCAGTGCAAGCGGGACGTGGTCGTCTTCCCAGAGGAAGAAGTCGCAGCGACCTTCATCGAATCCCAGCGGGCAGGCGAAGAACTTGCGGCCGTGGTTCTTGTTCTTCTTCTTGACCTCCAAGCTCTGACAGACCAACGCATGATGACACCTCGGCGGTGTCAATGACTCGGCCTCCTTCTTCGGTTTCGATTTTTCTTGACTAGAGAGACCACGCGCTTTCTCGGCTTTGGCCAGCACTTCCAGACACTCCTCGGTGAAGTCCACGCCGTCGTCAGCCAGCATCGACTTCTCCTTCTTACTCTGTTGAGTACCGTTCGCATTGACCACCGGAGCGAGGCCTGAAGATTTCTCACCTGTAGCTTCGTCCAGCAGGTTCTCATTACGTGCGCGCAGATACGCCGGTCGCTTCTTGGCGCGCCCAGAGCTGCCCTTGAATCTCTTACGCATGTTCAGCTTGACGAAGTTGTCGCTCACCGCACTTTGGGCGTCCTCGGCCTTCCAGCGCTCAAACTCCGCAGCCTTCCGAGCATCACCCACATCACCGGAACCCGCGTCGTTGCTGTCAGATGGAGCGTCGAAGTCATCGAGAGTGAACCCACTGTTCCCAGCCGTCGCGAAGCCCCACGCCTCCTCTTCTTTCTCGTCATCACTCAGAGCAGCCTTACGTTGCCCGACA